CGATTGCCGGACAGCCAAGGAACACATGAGACCCGGAGGTGGGTGGAGCTGGGGGCGGGGCAGTGGGCAACTGCCACCCGCTGGCAGCTGGACAAGGACGTGGACGAGGACGAGGACGAGGACACCGACACGGATGTGGATTGCGGACGCGGATGCCGGAGCAGAGTCCCAGCACGAGAGCTTCATTTGAACGAAATGAAATCATAATGAGATTTTTGCGTTCGTTTTTTGTCGCCGCAGAGGGATGGGAATGAGAATGGGAATGGGATTGGAAATGGTAATGGGATGGCCTGCTTTGGTCTGGTTTTGGGGGTAGTGCCAACCGACGGAAGCAGCAATTGCCATTGCCATTGCCATTGCCATGGCCATGGCATCGCGTAATGACAAAAATTCATAATTGGATAAAGAAGCGGACGTGTGCTGGCCCATCCATAAAATACAAGTCCAGATTGAAATCCAACAGCTTGCAAGTGAGCCACCTAATGGCCAATCAAACAGTGAAAATAATGGTGGACAATAGAAGGTACCAAGGTACCTATTCAGTTTAAGGTTTGAGGCGTGTGACGATGCATTCGAGTCTAACTTCTTGCTCATTACCAACAATTAAAGCGTAATCAAATATTTCGCCTGCCTCTGTTGATTCCTTGACATGCCAGGCAATATTTGATGGTAAATCAAACCAAATTGCCGCCCATAAACCACAATTTAATGGGACTGTGGGACGCCCTGTCTCTCGAACTGCGTGCCCCCTTTTTTGGCCTTATGGCAATTGTGCACTTGATTGTTAGCGGCTTGTTGGGCAGCCAACAGGGCGGATCATCCCAGACCGCAATCCCCATACCGGCAGCCATATGGCCAACAATATGGTTGTTGGCTGTTGGTTGCTGGCTGCTGGTTGCTGGCTGCTCGCTGCTCGCTGCTGGTTGTTGGCCAATTGTTGTGATTGTTGGCAATGCAAAATGCCAGGCATTCGAATGCACTGGCGCGTAATCCGCAGCCGGCAATCGAGAGAAAGACTTGAGAATTCACTTGACTCGAAATGAAAGAATCTGAAAGGAGCACAGCGAAACAAATGAAAATAATATTAACGTGGGGCCCCAATGGCAAAGAAATGCCAGGCACGCTGGAGTCGAACAAAAACGACAAAAAAAAGCAACGAAAAACAATAATCGCCCTCAAAAGCAACAATATATTGTTTCTCCCAGAGATGAGCTCAATTATTCCCTAACAGGTAATTTAAAGCTATTTGAGTTCTGAGCATAAACGTTTTCCAAGGAGGCAGCATTGATTTCATTTTGAAATAGATAATTAGCAATATGGGTTTGAAAGGGCGATGTTCCGCCAATGTGGGTGCAGCACTAGATTTGGACTAAACCAAGCTGAATAACTACATTTGCGACTGGCATTTCGCCTGTCTGCCGTTGGTAATTGTATTAAGTACACATGTGCCGGAATACCGGAGTGTGGAGCATCAGCTGCCACAACTAATTAGACGGGGCCCACATGCATAGGCAAACTGCGTTAATGGAGTGCGTAATGGGTTAATTTTGGCCTGGCAATTCCGCAACACCCACCCACTCATTTTGCAAGGCACCCATTTCCCCCGCTCCCAAACCTACTCATACCCATACCCATGTCGATACCCATCCCCGTCTCGTTAGCCGTCTGTCAATGTTTGCACTTTTGTTTAGCGGGGACGGACAGGAGGCTTGGGTGGTGGCATGGCAGTGGATGGTTGCTTCCTCCGGTTAAGCGTGGAACGTGTCGACGACACAGTCGGCGGGAAAACCAAAAGTCGGATTCAGATTCTCATTCGGCGACGGAGTCACCGCGTTGACGACAAGTTAATCACATCGTGTCCAATCAGGCGAGCTAATCCCTCTGACAGGCTTCGACATCCACATCCACATCCACACGCCTCCGCCCGACTCCGAATCAGTAGCTGCTCTTACTCTAATATTTTCTGGAACATACACTAACCAGCGAAGTGGTCAAACGAATGGGAATCCTGTGGATTCCTATGCCAAACTCTACGCATCTACATATCTTTCGGCAGATGTTTTTAAATAATAAAAATAACCAGTTATTTCAATAATCGAGTGTGGACAGTGATTTTAAGATCACTTCCTTGTGCCAGTAAGTGTATTCAAACTTCTCGGTGGTTGGCCATTGTCTTTCCCCGGTCTCTGATTATTATTACTATTATGGATGTAAACCTGGCAACATCTGCTGCATATCAATTTGTTGGCTCTGACTTGAAACGCTTAAACTGATCCATGTCAGGTCGACGGGCCTAAGCCCACAGTCGAAGTTGCTTTTTTTTCTTATATTTTGAGTTCTTGGACTTAGGCGACTAAGCCCGTTCCGGACATTGGCAATTTGCATTTGCCGATTCAACATCATCGACATTTCCTAGTGGCCAATTATCGCTTAAGCTCTCTGTTGTGCTGCTTTTTTTTCTGGGGGGTTTTGGGAGGCTTTAAAGTTGAGATGGGCATGGAAAACCCGAGGCTGGGGAGTTGGAACTGGGCCTGTTTAAAAATTCGTTTAAATTCCATTGCCGAAAGTGGCTTGTCCCTTGTTGGCAAAGTCAAAAGCAAAGTGGGTAGAAGTAAAGGCTGGGAAAATATGCAGCAACCGCGAAATTGAAATTTTGGCTTCGCCTGCCGCGGCGGCTTCTTGGCATTGTTGGGAAAAATTGGCGATGGGATGAGCGCTCACCACCTGATCCTAAGTAAATACCAGGACAAGCCGGGCGGCAGCCAAAAAGGACACCCAGATATCCATGCATGTGACTGGATATTTATATTCCCTTTTCCCTCTTTCCCATTTCCTTTTTTTTTTTTTTTGTTTTTGATATTATGCCTCGCGAGTTGGCTTTTCTTTTTAATTAAATGAAACCAGAGGAATTGACCCAAAACGCAGAATAAATAAATATTTAAGGAAGGGATGAGGGTTTCACGTCTCGTCCGCCGGAGCATCTGTTGTTCCATGTTTGCCGCTTGTTTTTGTTAATAATTATTTCACTTTTTTATCGAAGGAGGTGGAAAGAATTCAAAAGATGCCGCATAGCCATTGTTTACTGTGGAAACAAAACCGAAACAAGGCACAGCAATCATATACAAAAAATGAGCGAAAAAAAACAACAATAAATATTTCACCTTCAATAAATCATTTTCCATTTCGCTGTTGGGCAGCAAATCCCCTTTACACCTTCGCCCCAAAAAACAAAAAGGGTTTCTTGTCAACCCCAAGAGCTTTCCCCCTTCTTTACTTAAAACTCAACAAAATTTAAATACAAAATTTGTGCAAATACAGCGTAAATTGCCCTAAAAACGTGAAGAATTTTGGCGGAAGTATGAGAAATTGGTTCAAATCGATTTGAAAATAGTTTAAAGCAAAGTAGTGGATCCTGTTAATATTATGCATACTTCACTCGTTAATCAAAGTAAAGCAAGTGGCATAAATGTAAACATAGTAATTCACAAAGGGTCTCGTATTGAGCGCATTGTAAACAGGTTTTATGACATATTTTATATGGAAAACCTTGTCAGACCAGCCGGTCAACTGGCATTTAATACGTATACTTCGGTTGGATGAGGAAAATGAATTAGGTCCTTGAGCGAACGGCAGTCGCCACTGCCCATCTTCTAGTTGTATGCAGCCAAAATATATAGTTACTCGGTAGCACATATCAATTTGGTGTGGCTCGTTTGTTTGTTTGCCGGCTGATAAATTGGCACTCAAGTGGATTAAAATTGTTTGCAGCTAAATAAATCTGTGTGCCCGGGCTGGACATTTGTCAGGATGGCAAAAAGGTGGTGTAGTGGTGCTGCAGCACCGCATCATGTCTGTGCCGCATATTAGTTCCAAACAAAAACAAAAAAAAAAAGGTAAACTCAAGTCAGGTTATGAATTAAAAAGGGTCCCTTCCATACGAAGAAAAAGTTATGAGCCATCCCACTCTATTAGGAATTCGGCAATTCTGTATTTTTTTTTTTTTACCTCATCAGCAGCTCTGTTTCGTGGCAACTTCAAAGGGACCTATTAGCTCGATGGTATTTTTCGGCATGCAAAGGCATTTTTTAAACGCGCTTCTTCATCTCGGGTCAGTTCGTCCCCCAGTCGCATTTTTATTCTGTTTCAACTACTTTCAAGTTTGCGCTTTTGTTTTGAATTCATTTTGTTTGGTGGGCTCGGCGCATCGTTAAATATTTTATACGCTCATAAATAGCTTAGATGATTTCGAAAATATGTGAATTAGCATATGCGCTAATCGGTTATATCAATAGGCTTTTCCTACACTTCAAAAAAAAAAGCCAAGACGGTTGACACTTGATTTTAATTTTAAACAACTTCTACGCGTTCACGTACGATTCGAAAACTTTTGCACGTAAGTGGGTTAAACTATTAGAATTTGTTTGTTCTTTGGGACCAATTTGATCGATTCAAGGCCAAAATGCGAACGGGTTAACCACATTCCAAAGTGGGACGAACGTTATCTGCATCTGCTCAGTAAAACCATTAATACTTTGAAGTTGTAGTATCGTTCTCGTGTTCTCCACTTGATGCCGCCTTGTCATTGACAAGCCAATGTTGGCCAAATTAAATCATTACGACGCCAACAGTGGGTTAAGTCGAATTCAAAACTCAAAACAATTATATAGCATCGATCACTTCAATATGACACGGCTATAGTAATTAACAAGAGATTATGAGCAACACCCCGGAAAACAAGAATAAAATTCCATTCCAAACATGCTTACAAGTTGTAATTATAATAATATTAGAAATATTTAAAAAGTCACTCACCGTTTCGTAATTTGTTGAAATTGTAGATACTTGTATTTCAGTGTATTTGCATTTCATTATGTTTCAAAACACGATACACTTTAATCCGCGATTCATCAATCAACAACCTGCAAATAAGCAACGAAAATATAATTAGCATTACACTAGAACCTCAATAAAATCAATTAAACTGCAAACGACAAACCTCGAACCTCGAACCACGGTTTTCGGCTCGATTTGACCAAATTTGCGCAATGTTCCAAAACGAAACCTAAACATCAGAAATTAATGTCGATGTTTGATGTTGTGCTGATGGCGATGTTGATCACGCTGATCAACTTGGCGTCTGCATACCCTTCCAGTTGGAATATGGGTTCCTGTAATTGGAAACACAAGAGTGGTAACAGACCGCTTTCGATTATAATTATATACGAAAACTTAGGAAATAAGACAACAAAACGAGAATTTAACGTTTTGTATGTATATAACTGAAAGCAATAAGAACATACAATGTCGAACCAAAGCTTTTTGATTGCTTACCACATTTAAAATACTCCGCTGAGGGTATGAATATAAGCAGTATTAATGAGCTAAGAGACGGGCCGCTGAAGAAAAAATTCGGCAAACAAGTTAGCTTCGGAAGCTGGCGCGCTGAAATTGCTAGCTTTATGATGGTGTTGTAATCTTAAAAATACGCGTGCTGTGCAGCAGCGGAATCAGTCTGAACTCGGACTTCAAGCGCAGGAACACGATGTCAAAAAACGCTGGCCTTTGGTCTATACGGGTGATTTTGTTGTGCATTTGCATACAATGGAGCGATGGACGCAATTCGCAGTGTTTGCATGTGCGTTTATCCCACGGCGGATGGCTTATTGGACGCCATTTAACCAGCCACAATGGCCGGCACATGCGGGCTTTTATGGGTGTCCCATATGCAGAGCCACCACTCGATGATCTTCGCTTTCGTCCGCCGGTGCCGAAGGCACCTTGGGAGGGTGAACGCTTAGCGATCAAGGATGCACCCATTTGTCTGCAGCGCGATCCCTTCCGGCGCGACATGACCCTGGAGGGTTCCGAGGATTGCCTCTATCTGAACGTTTACACGCCGGAGAGGCCGAAAACCAATGGATCTTTGCCTGTGATGGTGTGGTTCCATGGCGGCGGCTGGCAGTGTGGCTCCGGTATTAGCAGCTTCTACGGTCCTGATTTTCTGCTCGACCACGACATCGTTTTGGTTTCGGCCAACTTTCGATTGGGACCTTTGGGATTCCTTAGCACAGAGACGGTCGATTGTCCCGGCAACAATGGCTTAAAGGATCAACTGGAGGTGCTGCGCTGGGTTCGTGCGAACATCGCATCATTTGGTGGTGATCCAAATAGTGTAACGGTCTTTGGTGAGAGCGCCGGAGGTGCCAGTGTCACCTATCACATGCTGTCGGAAAAGTCGCGCGGCTTACTGCACCGTGGTATCGCCCAATCTGGCACCTATTTCAATCCCTGGGCACAGCCTGCGCATAAGGGAGTGGCCGCTGGAAGGGCAACCAAATTGGCCAAGATAGTGGGCTGCGGCACCGCCGGAGAATGGCCAGAGAAACTGGAGTGCCTGAGGAAGAGGCCAGCCGAGGATATAGTGGCCGCCCTATACGACATGTTCGTAAGTATCCGCAGTCTGCAAAAGATTTGGGCAGGGAATTAATAATTGTAAAAGATTAAGGAAACTTCTCTTGACATTTTAAATTTAACGATTTACGTATACAATTTCTATACAAAAGCCTAAGCCATTAGCCTCTTAACCAATTTAATCAATCTTAGATTCAATGAAGGCTCTCAAGTTTAACACTTATGTAAAATACTTTTGTTGCAAGTGACATCAGCTTAGTCTTTTGTGATACAAGTTGAGGTGGTATTTGACCAAAGATGAGTACAATGCAACCATTCAAGCTGTTATTAAACAAATTAGGTGAATGGAAGGTTAAGCTTCACCTTTGGCTTTGTATTGCAGGTCTGGGACTTTGATCCGATGATACCATTTCCGCCCGTAATCGAACCGGAGCACGATGGGGCCTTTCTCACAGTGGCACCTCGCCAGGCGGCCAAGCCACATGGACTGGAACTTCCACTGATGGTGGGCGCCACCGCCGAGGAAGGTCTCCTTAAAACCGCCGCCCTGCTTAACCTTCCCCAGCTTTTGGCCGAGTTTAAGTCTCAGTTTGAGCAGGTTCTGCCAGTTGTGCTGAACTACGATCACCACGACGACTCCGTGCGACAGAGGATTACGCAGCGCATCGAAAGCTTCTACTTCAAGTCGGGCCACGATTACGATAAGGTCAACCACCAGAATTTGACCGACGTGAGTGGGGGATCGGCCATCTATATGAATTAAAAGTTCATGAAACTAATCAGCGTCGTACAAACTACTTACCATTTCAGCTGATCTCGGACGGATGGTTCGTGGCCGGAATTGATGAGTACTTGCGCCTCCGGATGTCCCAAGAGGATGTGGCCCCCACTTATGTATACCTATTCGATCACAAGGGAGCCGCCAGTTTTACGGAGATTTTCAAGGGCGGACGCAACGAGTTCTACGGAGCGTGTCACGCAGAGGAGCTCCAGTATCTGTTCCCCATTGGCCGGGAGCTATTCGTAAGTGCGGTACCAACGCAAAAGGATCTGGAGCTCCGCGAACTGATGCTCCATCTGTGGGTTAGCTTTGCAAAGACTGGGTAAAACGCACTTGAAGACAACTTTTTGAGCCGAAACTAATGGCACTTCCACTTTCCACAGCAATCCAAATCCCATGAATGCCAGCTTCCATCTGCCGAACTGGAGTCCCGCTTCCAGTTATCCAGTGGAATATGTCCGATTGGGCACTAAAATGGAGGACGCCGCATCCATTTTCCGACTTGAAAACGAGTTAATGCAGCATCGGGCCGATTTTTGGTGGAACTTGCAGCCCCATTTGCCCGCCAGTCACGCCCACAACGAGCTGTAGTCGTCCACCAAAGCATTGTTCAAATGCAAACACATTTTGTCTCAATCAATTGATGTATTTCACCACACGATAAAAACCGGCCAAACTGTACTGTACTTTACTTTTTTTTTCACATTTGCCGCCAACTTAACGGGACTACGGAGTTGCCTGACGTGGTCAAGCTTTTGCGCTGCCAGACTTCTGCAAATGAGCACTTTAGCTGCTATTGACGGTCGGGCAACGCTTTGCACGGCCTTGCCGTATCGACGCAAAAACCTTAGAATATGTAAACAAATCAATACAGAAAATAATGCAGCTTTGCCTATAAATAGACAATGGCAAGATAGAAAGGCTAAGACAGATTATGCTTTTGATGTAAAGCAAAGAAGTGAAGCCAAATTGGAATTAATATAGAAACGCGAATGAAACCGTCTATCGATAGCCGCCCAGCTGATTGGGTGTTTATTTATGGCAAAAAGTTTGTTATCAGCGGAATTTCATTTGAATTTCATTAGATTAGTCATGTACGTCGTTCCGGCCAAAGTCTTGTGCGGTTATCTATATAAGTGATTGCGCCGCCGTGATTTGGGCTTTCCGTTCCAATTTCCTCCGCGGAAGAGCCCCAATACCACGTGCTATCTCGGCGCCCCCCACGAATTATTATTCGAGTATTCGGATCCAATACGGATTAGCCCGATAACGAGTTGGCCAAATAATCATCAAAGGCACGGGCTGTTAATGGATTTTCTGTTTACGCACGGGTACGACACCAACTGAGAACCCAGTGATAAGGCGGCCTCGCAACCGGCGCTCCGTAGACAAGATTCCCCATTTATTTACTATATAGTGAGCCATGTCGTCGAACGGAATGGATATTCCCCTCCCAAAGGCTAATGGTCACGAGCGACTGGCCTCGCTGGACAAAAGTATGCCGCCGGCATCACCCACTCTGCCGAGTCCCACGATCCGCAGGAACAAAAGTGACGGAAAACTAATGGCGCAGGATGTGAAGGAGGCCCGGGTGAAGGTCATCTACACTGGCGGCACCATCGGCATGGTGCGCAACGATCGGAATGGTAAGCACCCCACGAATGCCCAAATACGATTGATTCATTGGGATTCATCCGTCCTTTGCAATTCAATAGCATTTAGGAATACAGAAACTAGATATGATATCATATTATATGTGCTTCTTTTACAACCAAGGAGAGTGCCAAAAAATAGTGAGATAAGATAAATGATATGACAGCTTGCACTTAAAAACATTTCATTTGCATAAATATGGCAGTTGATATTGTTGAAAAATAAGCAAATCAAATATGTGCTTACAAATAGGCACTTATTGAAATCAAGAGGCAGTCAACCGAGTGTTGATGCTTTCAAGTATTGGCTTATATTACTCATTTGTTAGGTATTACGTGTTCTTATCAGGTATTTTAGCAAACATTTAACACACGAAGCGTGACAATAAATCATTTTTGCACTGACTTATTGGTGAACTAATTTGTGTTGGAATTTTGAGTAACAAAAATAATAATCATCATTGTACCAAATTGCATAATTATTCCAGTGCTGGCGCCCATTCCCAATGCCCTGGTGCGCAGCATCCGCAAATATCCAAACATCCACGATGAGGACTACGCGCTGCGCCGTTTTGGAGCATCTGCGTCGATGGCTCCACTGGTGCTGCCCATTGTTCAGGGAGTAGATCGTAGGGTTATCTACCAGATCACGGAGTATACACCGCTGCTGGACAGCAGCAATATGACGATGAACGATTGGGCGCGAATCGCCAGCGATATACAGGTATATATTAAACAACAAAACCAGTTCAATCGCTAGAAGGTAAAAAAAACCAATATTAATCCTTTCGAATTTATTGTTTAGCAATCGTACGAGTTCTTCGACGGTTTTGTGGTGCTCCATGGCACGGACACACTTTCCTACACCGCATCTGCGCTGTCCTTCATGTTGGAGAATCTGGGCAAAACGGTGATCATCACGGGCTCCCAAATCCCGATCTTTGAGACGCGAACCGATGGCAAGGACAATTTTACGTCGGCCTTGATAATAGCCGGTAACTACATCATTCCGGAGGTTTGCATCTTCTTTGGGCACAAGCTAATGCGCGGCAATCGGACGGTGAAGGTCAGTTCGAGTGCCTTGGACGCATTCGATTCACCAAATGTTCCACCGCTAGCAAGGATCGGCATTGATGTAAATGTGGACTACCGCCTGATATTCCGGCCATGCAGTATTGAAAGGTTTCGCGTTCACTTGAATCTCGATGAGAACGTGGGCTTGTTGCGAATCTTTCCGAGCATTTCGCATTCCACATTCCGGGCTTTCTTGGCGCCACCGATTCGCGGCGTAGTTCTGCAATCGTTCGGATCTGGAAATATACCATCGAACCGAACGGACCTCATCGATGAACTGCATGCGGCCAGCCAACGAGGCGTTATCATCATCAATTGTACACAGTGTCCCAATGGCACAGTGGCTGAGATCTACGATACGGGCAAAGTGCTATTCGATGTGGGTGTTATTCCCGGCTTCGATATGACTCCCGAGGCGGCACTGTCCAAACTGGCCTATGTCATCGGCAAGGAGGAGTGGTCACTTGAGGTGAAGAAGCAGGTAAGTTTGCGCCCTAATAAAATACATAAATGTAGATTATCCACAATGTACATATGCATTTTCAGATGATGCAGTCAAACTTGAGGGGCGAACTGACCTCCTTAAAGGCTGCCAAGATGGAGGACTACGACTTGGTGGATGCGGTGGCTCGATCTCTGCATTTATCCTCGCCTCAAGAACTGGATCAGCTGGGCGAAACGCTCTTTCCGGCCATGATCAATGCCGCTGTGGCTGAAGGCGATCCCAAGAAGATCAACAATTTGAAAGCCTATGGTGCCGACTTATCGGGAACGAATCATGACCAGCGAACGGCTTTGCATTTGGCTTGTCAACTGGGAAACGTGGAGATCGTAAAGTATCTACTGCAGAATGGGGTATCCGTGCATGTGCGGGATCGGTATGATCGCACTCCGCTGCTGGAGGCTGTCGCCACCGATAGCCACGAGATCATCCAGCTGCTCATCAACTGTGGTGCCCATTTGACGGGATCTTCGCGAGCGGTTGGCGAGCAATTGTGTGCGGCAGCTGCTAGGGGATCGATGGTCAGATTGATGTCCTATCAATATGCCGGTGCTGATCTCGCCCAGTCGGATCCTTCGGGCAGGACGGCCTTGCACGTGGCTGCACTGCACGGATTTCCCGAGGTGGTGCAGTACGTCCTGCCCTATTTTGAGAATCCTAACGAGAAGGACATGCTGGGCCTGACCGCCTTGGATTATGCGGAGCGCGGTGGACACGCATCGGTTATAGAAGCCCTAAAAACATAGAAATCTCTTCCGAACCAGAACTTACTTGTTCCTACAGCATGAAGAAAAATATCGGAGATTAGGGTTTTTTTCTTTAACAAATTCTAAAACTAAAATCTCTAGACACTTCTGTGACACCCCGATTTCGTACTTAAGTCTTGCTTCTAGTCTGATGGTTCCTTATTATCAGTTTTGTATAACTCACACATTAACAATGTCATTGTAGTTTGTATTTTTAAGTATCAAAATGTTACCTAATTCTTGACCTTTTTACTTATGTATCCATTGAATGCAATAATATTATTAGCCTGAAACAAAAGTTTACCAAATGTCGCAAAATTATTCTTCACTTTAATGGTTTAATATGCAACATCGAATATTGTAATCGGTTATATAAAAAGGTATATACTAACTAGTATAATTTGTTGTATAAAATGAAATAAAATAAAATTTAAAGTAATACCGATATTTTAATATTTTGAATAAGGTTTTAATAAATCGATTGTCAGCGCAAGTGTTATCGAGCCATTTGTCATTCGATAACTTACCAGGGCTATATGACCCAATTCAGTTGTGGCGCAGCCCTGGTTTCGCATTGTTTTTACGCTGGCATTAATTAGAATTGGTAAATATAGGTTTGTCAGCCTGCATATAAGAAAGCTCTTACATTGCCATCTAGTGCTTAGTGGCTTGTAACTCAGAAGGCAGCTGAAAATCAACAAAAGAGTTTAACAAAAACAGCAAACAAAACACACGCAGCGATACACGCAGTCCCACTCACCCATACACACACACGCACACATATGAAGAGGTGCACACGTCAGTGCCACGAATTCCATGAAAAAGAACAACAAGAAAAGCACAATTAAAGTTAAAGACAGTTCGAGCCGATCGGTAGCGGATGATAAATGTTAGCTATATGGTAAACCCTCTCTCGTTCCAGTCAATGTCGATAGCTAGCGCTGCGCAACCACCGTGGATATATAATCGGTCCTTCAGATAGCCAGTCCGCATATATATTCCCGATTCCCCGATTTGTGTTTTTGTTTGTTTCTCCTGTTTTTTGTTTGTTTTTTTTTTTTTGTGTTGCTGCATTTGCTCCGGTAACTAGGATAGTTAGTAATATTTTCTAATTGAAACGACAATGGCGGAGGATTCGGCTGCTTTGGAGAGCTCCTACGACTTCTCCATCGTTCAGGTGGGTTTCCTTGGTGTTCCTTATACGTACTGACATCTATACTGATCAGGATCACTTGCAGCCCGATGATCACGAATATGGCGAGGCGGATATACGCTTGGCGGGCAGCTCCAACGATCTGTCCTTGTTACAGGTGGGTAAATCTGAACAAATACCAAACGGATCCCAACAGGATCCATTCTAATCTGTTTAATCTGCACCACAGAATGTATCCGCCGGCACAACGAGAGGCACCGAAGGCAAGGGCCGTTTGGACAGCCTTAAAGAGAATCTGTACAAGCAGCAGGTGAGTTAGTGATTGAGTTGTGAGTTAGGTGATTCATTCAGACCTCTATATAACTCGAAATGATTGTTTTCAGGAGCGCCTTACTGCCTTAAAAGAACGCGCCTTAAGGAAATCCCAGGATGGGCGACACAAGTCCAGCATGAGTGACTCCATGGAGTCGCTCAAGACACTGGGTCAGAAGCTCACCGTGTTGAAGACGCGCTCCAGCGACTCCTCCACTCCACTGGTCACACCGACTAAGGACAACGACCCCGGGGATGTCTCTCTACTCCAAACCAGTGGCAGCGAGAAGCTTCTGATGCTCACACAGCGCACGGAACAAAATCGTGCTTTGTTAGAACAGCGTAAAAGAGATCTGGCCAAGTCTCTTCTTTCTGTAAAGTCGAATATTGGCCATCAAACTACAGCCGAGCTGGGCTCTTCCATGACGGACCTACGACAGGCAGCGTCTACCTCCAACCCTCCCGTTTCCCGTCACCGTTCTGCCTTGGACTTGGAGGCGCAAGGTCAGGAGGCCGTAGACGAAAGCCGGGTGAAGCTGCTCAGGAATCGTATGAAGTTGACGGAGCTTAAGCAGAGCCGTCAGGATCAGGAGCTGCAGGAATTGCGCACAGAACTGGGCAAGCGCGCTAATCTCATCGAGCAATTGGAACTATCCGGTGCGGAATTACAGCGCACGCTCACCCAGCAAAACGAGGAGTTGGAGCAATTGCGTCTGGTTCTGGCTAAAGCTGAAGTGGAGAAGGAGAAGGTGGACGCGGTACCAGAAGGGGATAGCCTGAAGGAGCAGGAGAACTCCCGCCTCCAGAGAGAAGTTTTAGTCCTAAGAGAACGACTAACAGAGCTGGAAAACATCAATGACCTGTTAGAAACGACCCGCTGTGAACTTCAAGAAGAGCTGACCACGGCGCGCGAAAGGCAACGTGATCTGGATCTGGAACAAGAGCAGGAAAAGTTTTCCAGCAGTCCGCAATCGGAGGCAGCGTCCACCGATGCACAGGTGAGCGCGGAGCTAGCCAAACAGCTCCAGGAACTCACCAACCAGCTAACGGAGCTACAAGCAACTAATGAGGAGTTGCGTCACCAAGTTGCTGCCCAAAAGAAGCTCGAGGTGAGCGATGAGAGTGTTTCCCAGCGTCTCGAAGAACTGGAAGCGAACATAGCGGCGCAGCTTTTGGAGCTGGAGGAAAATAAGTCGGCAATGGCTGCCCAAAACGAAGAACTCGCAGAAAAGACGACGGAACTCAATGTACTCAATGTGAATCTGCGTCTGCTTGAGGAGAAACTGCTGCAAAGCAGTCGCAGTAAGCCCATATTTCTGGATGACCACTTGGAGGACAGTGCTGCCAGCAAGCAGATGCAGGAGGATCTGCAGCAACTGAAGCAAAAACTGGACGAAACTAACAAGGCCAACATAAAGCTGAAACTGAAATGCAAGCAGGCGGAAAAGCAGCTACAGAAACTCCAATCACAAGATGGCCAGCAACAGTTGGCTTCACTGGCGGCTGACAACGAGGAGCTGCAACAGAGGATCGCCGTCCTCGAGGACGAGAAGGGGCAATGGCAGTTGGCCAACATGCAGGAGGATGATCGCCAGCCAGAGCAATCGCCGGAGTCAAACCCCCTGCAGCTGGAAACAATTCGTTTGCTGGAAGAGCAGAAATTGGAATTGCAACAGGCCCTGGAGGCCTTACTCAGTTCATCCAGTTCGGCGGAATCCATCGAAATAGTGGAGCGCCATCACTTGGAGTGCCTAGGCCAACGACGTCCGGCAAGCGAGGGCGACGCGCAGGAGCAGAAGCAAGTGCATCCACCAGTGCCTAGTCACGTGAGCGAGCTCACTCAAACGGATCACACTGAGGAGGAGGATTCCTCTGGCGAAAGTCTTTCCCAGCTTAGAGAACGCCTTGAACTGTTCACTCAGGAGCGGGGCGAGGTATTGGACAAGCTGGAGCAACTGTCCGCTGAGAATTTGCAACTCCAGGCAAGATTGGAGGAAAGTTCAAGTTCACTGCAGCTGCTGCAACGTGAACGTGAGAAGGATCTTATCTCCTCCACGTCCACCTCTTCCAACCTTTCGCAGGAACTCAGCTCAATGCAACGTTCCTCCGAAGTGGTGGCCACGCTAGACGCTGGCGAAGGAGGCCCCGTGCTCTTTGAGAAATGCGAGAAATCCCTGAGCAAACTGAACTCTGAATTGGAGGCCTATCGCAAGGCAAACGATAGGCAGGCCAAGTTCAATGTGTCCAAGAAACTGGCCAAGGAGGCCAAGAACTGTCACACTCAGCTGAGTGAGCTGCTCCACAAGGTTAAGGAAGCGAGCACCGCGGTAGAAACTGTTACCGTTGTGGAGACGGTGGTGGCAGTGACCGCTCCCAATGGAAAAGCTCTTGCGGAATACGAGCAGCTAAACGCACAGAACGCAGAACTCAAGGCGGTGATCTCCCGCTTGCGCCAGGAATTAGATGAATTGAGGGAAACCTATCCTGAAACAGGCGCGCCATTGGCCATTGTTGGTTCCGATTCTCAAAGGGAAGATGAGATCCTCCAACTGCAATCCCTGCTGGAGGACGCACGCTCTTCGCAGGCCGAACAACGCCAGCAAATCGAGGAGCAGCTAGATCAAATCAGGGAGCTACGTCAAACCGAAGCAGAACAGTTGCAATTAGTGGCCAGGCAGAGTGCCGAGATCACACAGCTCCAGCTGCAATCAGAACAATTTGATCAGTTGCTCAACGCCAAGGAAATGACCCATGAGAAGCAACTGGAGCAGCAAACAAGGATTCGTCGAGAGCTTGAGGCACGTGCCGAATCCCTGGAAGGCGAACTGAGTATCTTGCAGACTCTAGTTGCCGAGCAGAAGCAGCAACTCATCGAGAGTGTCAGCGAAAGTGAGCACGCCCTTAACCTCAAGATGCTGGAACTGCAATCCGCCCAAGAGGAGCTGCGCGAATTGAGAGCCAAAGAGGATCCAGATCAGCTCAGAGAGGCTCTGCGAATTAGTAAAAGTCTAGCTGCCCAGCAGGTCAGTGAGTTGGCTTTCAGCCAGGAGACTGTCGATGCTTTGAACCAGCAAATCCAGGAGTATCAAGGATTAGAACAAGCCCATAAAGAGGAGCAGATCAAGACCCGCGAGCTGCGCGAGAAACTGAAGAAGTATGCGCTTAACCTCAAGAAACGCACACAGGACAATGCCGATCTCGAGCAGAAGATCCAGGAGCTTACTAGTCAACTCCAAGAACAGCAGGAGCTTGTAAAGCAGAAAGAGGAGGCGGAACGTGAACCCATCGTGGACACCCATCAAGTGGAGCAACTGCAGCAACAGGTCAGCAAGCTTAACGAAGATCTGAAGGCCAAGATCCATGTCAACCTGGAAAATCGCGATGCCCTGCGTCAGTTTAAGCAGCAAATCCAAGAGCAGCAGCAACTCATCCAAGAACGCGATGCAGAGCTCCAAGACGCAAATCTGGTGAGCAAGGAGTTGCGACGCGAGGGCCAAGAAGCCCAGCAGGAAGTCTTTCAAATGGGCCAGGAGAACTCCAGGCTCAGGGAAGAAATCTCCAAGCTCCAGGAAGACATCCATAATCTTGGACAGAGGGTAAACGAAGAGCCCACTGCTGTCGAGGATTTGCGCCGTCAATTAGAGGCAAAATCGAAGAAGTTTGAAAAGTCCAAGGAGTTAATAAAGCTTCGCAATGCCACGATTCAATCGCTGCAGCGAGAGCTACAGCAATTGCAGCAGGATCAAGACAGCGAGGTGGAACATGTGCGAACAACGCGGGCTGCCCAAGAGCAACTGCGTCTAGAAAAGGATGCGGAGGTAAGTAATATATTTTTTGCCATATTTACTTTGATGTCGACGATTATAATCACCCAAAAACAAGATTACTGCCCTCCGACAAGAGATTCTTCAGCTGGAAAGCCAAAAGAGCAGGACTGCCGGTGAAGGCGATGATTCCATTACCAAGACCTCACATCAACCATTGGAATCACAATCGGTAAGACAGCCAGACATGTTGAACTGCGCAGCTTTGGCTGTAATAATTGATACTTCATTGGACCTTCTTAATACAACAAATCAAATTATTTTAGCTACAACAAGCGGAATCCCTCCAAGTGGCAGAGAGGGAACAGCAGCACCTTCGTGGCCAGCTAACGGCGGCCCAGGAGCAACACTCTCTGTTGGCGCAGCAGTACGCCAGCGATAAGGCAAACTTTGAGATGACCATTGCCCGTCTGGAGACACTTCACGAAGGTATTCAGGCCAAGCTACAGGAGGATGCCTCGTACATTGAGTCGCTGGAGGCGCAGAATACGGAGCTCCAGGCCAGAAGCGCTGCCCTTGAGGAACAGGCCGCTAATAAGGCCAATCAACAAGCGGCAGCCCAAGATAAAGTGGAAATACTGGAGCAACAATTGCAGAAACAGCGCGAGCAGGAAGAGCAGCAACGGCAACAGGATCAGCAGCTACAGGAGCGTTTGTATGAGCTTGGACAACGGGAGCAAGCTCAAAATCGCCAACTCGAGTTGGTCACCAGCGAAGCGGAAGAGAGCAGGCAGCATCTGGCTCGCCTGCGGGCGGACTACGAGTCCCTGCAGGCCAAACATGCTCAACTAATAGCCACCGCCGAGGCAGAAAGGGAACAGATGAGCAGCCACAGCCAGGAGGAGCTGGCCGAGCTCCGACAGCAACTGGACGCCAAGGAGGCGGATCTGCACCGTCAGCGTCAGGTTTACGATGCCAAGCTGGCAGCCAAGGCCACGGAGCTCGATGAACTTGAATGCGATCTCAATGGCCATGTGGAACGAGCTGCTGCCGAGACACGAGAGCTGGTCCAGCAATTGGAGCGGTCGCAAGAGCAGATAAACCAGCGAACTGAGGAACTTCAGCGACTCAACGAAGAGTTCCAGGAGGTGGAACGCGAGAGATCCACTTTAGGTCGAGAAGTGACCTTGCTCCGTTTGCAGAATGACAGTGCCGAGCAAGATGTTTTGGAGCTCCAGGAGTTGCGCATGCAGGCCATGCAGGACAAAACCGAAATGGACAACCTGCGCACCCAGATAGATGCTCTCTGCGCCAATCACAGCCAAGAGCTGCAGGCACTACAGCAGCAAATCGCTGAGTTGGACACTCTGGGTCAGAATCAAACTGATGATCAGGTCTACATCGAAACGGAGAACAAGCGCTTGGCAGAGCAGCTAAGTGAACTGCAAGCTCAACTAGCCAGGCAGCAGCAGCAGCAGCAACAACTCCATCATCATCCTGCTGTTCAATCTCAACAGCATCCTCCACCGGCTTCTCTGTTCTTTGGTGGCGATGCTTTGGCCGCTCCTTCGCCCTTCGATGAGATTGCCCAACCGCTGAGGGTTTCTTCCCTAGCGACAAGCGCACCGCCACCCATATCTCCACCACCTACAATCGAGGATCTTCAGCGAAACGTGTCTGATCTGGAGAAGCATGCGCAAGATCTGGAAACGAAGCTGCTGGCACGAAATCAGAATTTGGCGGAACAGGAAGAGCGACGTTTGCAGTTGGAGCAGCGCCTTTCGGAATTGGAGCGCCTTCTAAGCGAACGGACTCAGCAGCTGGCCGACATTCAAAAGGACAATGAGGAACGCGATCGCTTGGCGGCACTGGAGAAGCTGATCCAACCGGCAGCACCGCCCACATTGGACATGTTCTTTGGCGGTCATGCGGAGGAAACAGTGCCCGATGCCGTGAGTCACCACTTGGATTTGGGTCTGCCGCAGACGGAACCAGTGGAGGAACCACTGATCCAGCCCAAAAAGGCATATTTGTGCCAGCCAAAGCCAGAAATTCAAGAGCCGACTGCTCAGTCCATTGATTGGGGTGTTGACGAAGATCCCTGGGCAAGTGCCGCCAACGAGGCTCCGCAAACCGATGTGGAACACCTGCACACGAGAATCGCCCAATTGGAGCTGCAATTATCCAATGCTGAGCAGCAAAAGACCGAACTTCAAACCAAAGCCGCCAAGCTGATGAAACGCCTCAAGGAATACAAAACGAAGGCAACAACGACCGCCACGCCCACTGTGACAGTGGATAATGATCTGGATTCGACCATTATTGAGGAGCTGAAGCATCAGCTCCAGTTGCAAGAGTCCCGACTGAGCAAGGCGGAAGAATTAACGCAACAGCACGCCCTAGAAAAGGAGAAGCTAGCGAAGCGCATCGATGTTCTGACATCAGGAAACGATCGTATGGCGGAAATGAAGGAGCGACAGGACATGGATGTGCAGATGTACCAGGCTCGCATTCGGGAGCTCCAAGAAAAGCTTAGCCAACTAGACCAGTGGGGTGAGCCTACCGCTACTGTCTCTTCATCCCTAAACGCCGATGAGGCGGCGAGGATTGAGAGCCTGCAGCAGGAAATCCAGCAACTGCGCCAAGAAGTAATCGAACTGGAAGATTTGCGCAGAGGCGATCAAGCCGAATTGGAAGCACTGCGACAGAGTAGCCAAGGTTACGATGAGGCAGGAAGACTTGCGAACCTCGAGGACGACAACCAAAAGTTTGAGCTCCAGCAAATTCGTCAACAAGTAAGCGAACTGGAAGCTCTGCGTACACGCGATCAAGCCGAATTGGAAGCACTGCGTCAGAGTATCCAGGGCCACGATGAGGCGGCAAGGATGGCGACCTTGCAACAGGACAATCAACAATTGGAGCTCCAGCAGCTGCGCCAACAACTAATCGAACTGGAAGCTCTGCGTACACGCGATCAAGCCGAATTGGAAGCACTGCGTCAGAGTAGCCAGGGCCACGATGAGGCGGCAAGGATGGCGACCTTGCAGCAGGACAATCAACAATTGGAGCTCCAGCAGCTGCGCCAACAACTAATCGAACTGGAAGCTCTACGCACACGCGATCAAGCGGATTTGGAGGCATTGCGTCAAAGTAGTCAGGGTCAACCACTCTCGGCAGACGTGGACTCCAGAAATGATGAGCAAATGGCTCAATTGCAGGAGAAAGAATCTGAGATTGTGCACTTAAAGCAACGCATCGAAGAGCTTATGCGCGAGGACCAAACAGAGAAACTTGTCTTCGAGATCCTAACTAAGAATCAAGAGCTGCAGATGCTACGCATGCAGGTCAAGCAATTGGAGGAGGACAAGGAAGATCAGCAGGTGTCTGCGTCTGCGTCTTCAACGGACGACGGAGATACCGTTGAAAAGCTGAAAAACCAGTGCCAGCAACTCCAGCAAGAAAAATCGGACATGGAGGAGGAACTGCGTGTGCTTAACAATCATGTTCTTAGCAGCCTAGAGCTGGAGGATAGGATGAAGCAAACGCTGCTCCAGCTGGATACCAAAAACATTGAAATCACCGAGCTGCGTCGTTCACTAGAAGTCCTGCAAAGCCAAAATCTTGGCCAGAGCTCTGCTACACAGCAAATACCCGATCTGTCAGCTATCAATCAGCAGTGGGAACAGTTGGTGGAGCAAAAGTGCGGCGAGGTGGCCAACATTTGGCAGGAACATCTTTCCCAAAGAGAAGCTGCCTTCAAGGCGCAACTGGAGGAGGTTACCCAGCAGCAGCAGAGGGAACTGCCACAAAGTCAGCAGTCCACGCAAGGTGAGGCCACCGGCGACATAATGCTAAAGATGCAAAAGGCACTGGAAACGCAGGAAATGGAGATTGTGACACTTAAGGAACAATTGGCCATTCGTTCAGCCGAGTACGCGCGTCTAGCCGCCCAATACGATCCGTTCCGTCTGCAGAATCGCGGGGGAGCCAGTGGAAATCCTGCCTCGACAGCAGTCTCAGCTGGTGGACCACCACCCTTAACTGCCAACGAACCACTGCCCGAGTATGTGCTTAAAGCGGATCTAGACTACGCCCTCATGATGCTCCACCAGCGGGACATGCGAGTCGAGGAAATGATTGTGGAATTGGTGCAGTTGCTCGAGGAACGTGATCACCTGCAACTGAAGTTGTCGGACACGCTGCGCCAGTTGGAAACTGAGCGGAGTCGCGTTAGCGATGAACGTGAGTCTGAGCATTTTTTTTATACTATACATATACATAACTTTTTGTACTTCTCTATTGTGAAGCAGCAAGTGCCACGGCATCCTCATCAGCTGCCTCGAGCAGCAGTCCCAGCAAAATCAGCAGTGCTGGCAGCAACAGCGAGCTTCTGGGAACGACGAGTGCAGCGGGCAGTGACCTCAAGCAGAAGTGGGTATACTGTGTCCCACAGTATAGAGGAGTGAAGACCTAATATTATCATATCTCTTTAAAGGCTAGCTGAGTTGCAGACGGTGAAGCATTCCAAGGACAAGGTCATCGTGGACGAGCGTGAGCAGCGCCTGCAGCAGATGCTCCAACTGCAGAAAGACATGGCCAAGCAGGGCTCGGGGTCGCAATCAGGACCTGGAACAGGAACAGTGGCAGCAGTCACGACATCAACGGCAGCACCAGCACCAACATCAATAGGCGTGGATCTCTGTGAGTGGATGCTACTGAAACGTCAACCAAGTGCCTCTTCCCTAACCAAATCCCCCGAATCGAATTCAAATTTACAGCTCAGTCCGGATTGCGTTCGCCATCGATGATGCTCATGGACTGGATACTGGGCAACAACAACAAGGAGGAGGATGCGGGCCACCAAACCTCCGGCTAACCCATTTCCACTTCCCGGCAAGAACGACCACGCACCCAGAAGCCTGGACTCCTACGGCTAGCTCTTTAATTACAAATCATTACTTAAACTTTAATTCTGGACTTCCTTGTGCGGACAATGGCGATTAGCGTTAGAGTTCTTTATACGATATTATGTACCTTGGCTAGCTGAAAAGCTCTCCCCTTATTCCCGATTTGTTCCAAACGCGTACGTTTTATGTTGTAGATATGTAAAAATTGTATAAAAACAAAACGAAATGAAATGAAACGAAGCTGAAGAAAAACCGGAAAACAGAAAACCTAACTAAAGAGAATTTAAGAACTAAGCCAAAAGTGTTTTTCTAAGGGATTCTCAACAAAAGGATAAATAACTGGTGATTAAAATGGATTTATAGCATAAACCAAGACATCGGATGTATAATAAGCAATCATTGGGTTTCCTTTTCGTTTTATTTAAATTTATTTCAAATGATATTTGATGTTTAATTAACAATGTTTCATTTTATTTTTCCTTTGAGAAAAAAACACTTAGTTTTTAAGATTCATGCTGTAAATATTATAATAATTGTTTTTCTCTTGTGTGGCTATGTGTATGTGTGTGTGTGCTGTGATCTCCTCCTGCATCTCGCGATCTCCGCCAGAACTGCGACATCTACATCTCGCTTTCTTTGTTTTTGCGCCTATTTTGCGAGGAGACTTGACTTTCGGGTGTGTGTAAGGTGTATGTTGGTTGATTTCAATTAAATAATGCAATTGAATGTTGTTAAATGTATCGAAACAATTTTTGAATGTTAAGTTCCGTTTCCACATTTTATTATTATTATTATGTTCATATATATTGTGTTTTGTTTTTGCTACAGCTGACATCAAGTACAATTTGCTTATGATTTGCTTGTCCTTATCATTTGTTTATTTCCATTTCTCTTTTTTTTATTTGTATTTAGTTTATTTTTCTGTATTTCTAGTTAAACATTTAAATACGAGTTTTTCCACATGCCTATGAAAATACAGCGATCATGCATGTCGGCGAATATATATTTATGTATAAATCTATATACCCTTTTCAATGCTTTGCAAACTATATAAAAAAAGTCCTAACCACGAACAATAGCAATGAAATATGTTGGGAAATAATAGTGTGAAACAAGATGCATCGCCATTTAGGTACCCGGCCTCTTAAAGTGTTAGACTCGCGAGCAATTAGATGGCGCTACGGAAGGAACCAAGTGAGTGGGTGTGCCGGATCTATATCTATGGATCCACGGGTGCAGTGTAAACCATGAACAGCATGCGTTTGTTTTGCTTCTAGTAAAGGGTTTTTTTTTTTTTTTTTTTTTCTTTTTTTGTGGTTTTAAATGATTGATTTTCTTTGCACTTATTAGATCGTATATATCGGCGTGTCGGATACAGTTAATGGATTTTCTCAATTTCGGTGCCATTAGGCTGGAAATCGTTCAATTCGATCTTGGCAAACAACACAAATTACACAAAGGTTTGCTTATAGAAATTCAGTATATTATATATATATGTATATATATATATATAGCGCTTATTGAGTGGTGTGTTTGTGTGGGTGTAGTAATGTAACTACTGAAATGACTAAAACGAAAAATAGTAAATGCAAATGCCAACCAAAAACAATAATGATTCTATATTAATAAGTATATATAGATCTCGTTTCGGGACTTAGAGAGGGACAAACGGACATTGAGAGAGAGAGAGAGAGTGATAGGACGAGGGGTGAGGTGAAGCAACTTTTCTTTTAGAGAGCGTCGGCCTTGCAGAGCATTTTGTTTTTCTTTTATTTCTTGAAGCTTTTCATTGATTGGTTTTCCATACAAAGGTTTCTTCTTAAGTTTTGTTTGCATTTTGCTAAAGGTTCTTTTCTTGACATTTGCTTTTCTGTTTTCGATTTAAATTTTACATTTAGGTCTATTGGTTGCAAAAAATTAAAACAAAAATAAAGCAAATAAAAAATATATTGATAAAACTGAAGTTTATTCTCGCACTTAAGTAATATTTTGGTTTTCTATTTAGTTTCGTCGAGAAGTTATGATTAATTACAATTTTGGTTATTCTTTGAAATACTTTACTTTTCCGGGTTGAAAATGCATCGAAAACGATTTAAAAAAAAAATTGTGAAGCATTTTAAAATAAAATTCTTACAAATTAGTAATAGCGAAAAAATGCAATCGAAAATCTGAGCAATTATACGTATGGGATCTTAACGAACTTTAAATATTTCTTGAGAGATTTTTCCCTTTGCGAAAATACGATTTTTACGTCTCTCCTATTTTTTCCCTTCTCTGCTGTTTAGCTCAGGGACCCAAGGTAATCATTCGTTATTATTCCTATTCTTAAGTATTGATTATTTTGTGAGGGAATTTATAAGGACCAAATATTCGTACTACTCAAAGTCAGGTTGCGAGCATTTCCAGTGAAATCTTCTAAATACAGCTTTAAAATGTTGCTTTAAATTTAAATCTTGTTAAAATTCCTTGACTTTGAGCAATATTTTGGAGCCAAACAACATCTCTCACATCATAATCATTACTCTGAGCGATATTTGCTTCGCTATCCAACAATGATTATTTTTGATTTTATTTATCATATCCGTATATATACGGTCCCCGGTTAAGTCAGCTTCACTGTCGTCTCTGTGCTTCTTTTGCCGATTATGGATCTTAATGCTCCTGCTGCTGCTGTTGTTCTTTCGTTGTGGTTGCTGTTGTTAGTTGCTGCTGCTTTTGCTGTTGCTGTATGATGGTTTTGCCGCTGTACTTGCTGTTACTGTTGCTGCACGTAGCATGTAGCATGTTGCTGGCGTTCGTTTATGGCATTCAGAGAAAGAATTTACCCAGCAGGAGGCTAATAATGGCCGCAGCAATGGCAATTGCAATGTAAAAGACCGGAATCTGCTTTTCAGCCAGGACTGGGGCATAGGGCTCATTCACCTGTTTGATGGCCTGCGAGCTCCGGTAACGAGTGATCTGATCCTGAAAAGCGGTTAAAAATGAAAATATGTTAAAAAAAAACGAAGTTATTTGTTATAAAAATACTACACTACACTTCCATCAAGGAGCTGGCTTACCTTCAAGTGAAGATTCTCTTTTCTTAGTTCGATGTTGGTTTCACGCAGAGCCTTGATCTCTCCGGTCAGAAAATCAATATTCTCCCATGTATCGGCCAAATTGGATGGCTAAAGTTGTTTAATATTTTCGCGTTATTTATGATTATGATCGTTTGAGGTTGCCAGTTCGGCTAAACGTACCTTATCCTCGCTCGACAGCAAGCCGAAGTTCTCCAGCTTTGGTTTGCTCTCGAGCGGCTCGGCGCTGGCTGAGCTAGTATTGGCCGCCGCGCTTCCGCCTTCGGCAATTCCGGTTGCGCCGCCAACGGTATTACGACCGCTGGTGTTCTCAGCATTTGCCTCAGCGCTGGGCATCTCGAAAACGCACTTCAGTTTGGCGTCCATCAGCTGCTCGGGCTCCAGTTCCTTCCACTGCAGGAATAGAAGAAGACGTTGATCAGAAATGTTATATTTACACTTAGTCATCACCAAGTCCTATCCTTTTCCTACTTACTAATTTATTTAAATCGGTTAGATCAGCATCCGTGGGTGCCAGGACGCTCTGCACCATGAACTTGTGCTTGTTCTTCTCCTGCTGATCGTAGATGAATGGCTGGAGGCAGACTATGTAATGCGCACGGTGACAACATACAATTAGTAACGATTTTATCAGGAGATTTCATTTGAGAAATACTTACTCTCCACCTGAGTCGATCGAAAGGGCATTATCTTGCCAATGTTTGGACGTACGCAATACCGCTTCGGGGCGGTTGTCTTGATCTTGAAGACCAGAGGCAGAGCCGAGTTGTTGCGCAGACTCATGATTGTGACAACGGGTCGGTTGAAGGGACCTGTAAAGGAATAATAACAAAAGCGAACCGTTGAAGTCAGGAGCTAGTTTAACAATACAACAAAATATATATTAACTTAAGGAATATAGCTTACATATTTCTCAAGTTATCGAAAAGCACTAAACTTTCAGTGTGAGCTAATGGTTTTTTTTTAGTTTCTGATTTCCCTATGATATACTGATCTGTATTATCTGCTTATAGCACTTTCAGGAATGCCTGCAGACATTATCGCCCTTCTTAATGAATGCACACGATTAGTCACACATTATTGGCGATAGCCCCACCCACCCAACCGAGCACCCAACACTCGCACTTTCCCTGTCCAACCTTCCCGATTTTCTCCACTCTCCCTGATTTTTGGGTCACGTCACGCTCATTGCGTCATTGGCCAAAGCAAGTTCAAATTAATTGAATTAAAAGCAAGACAAAATCGAAAATGGGCACTAAAGCCGAAGAGTAACATGAATATCGGGGTGTCGTACTTTGAGTACCCTTTATATTGAAGTTGGATTCACTACCAAAATGTGTAACCTTTTTTGGAATTATACTATTTTTATAAGCTATTTCAAATTATTTGTCATATTGAAAAGTAAGCAATTTTAAAAGCTAGTATTAATCAGAATGTTACTTTCGGACCAATTAGAAATCGAATATAAGGTCTTCCTTACTTTTCAAAATTGGTATATATCCAACATTTTAAACGGACATTGGTGGGAAAATCAAAACAAACCAGGAAAAAAAGCCAACAACAAACGAAATACTATAAGGAATTTTCGTTTTTTTTTTGTTTGTTTGTTAACATGGCGTGTGCGTGTTTCCCTTCGGTGTAAGTGTGTGTCAAGGAAATTTCATTAGACAAAGTCGCGTCATGCATGTGTTTTCCACCCCTCGCCACCCACACCCTTTGCCATCTAACGGGAAACGTGGGCGAGGGGGGTTGCAAAAGAATGGGGCTAAGGCTCACTCACACACATACAAATATTAAAATATTTGCGCACGATGGAAGCGAAAGCAAAATACTTGATTTGGTAACTCAACTTTAACAATACGATTTTTTGAAGTGGTTGAAATAATACAATAATGGTTTAGTATTTGTGCATTATTTATGAACACAATCAACATGATTGGCTACTCCAGTAAACATTGCATTCTGCAATTGAGACTTTGATAAACCAAAAGCATGCTTCGCAGAAAAATGAAATGTTTATAAACTGGAAAATGCAGCTTGGCAACAGGAGTTTAAAAAGAATGTGATGACTTTGCCACTTGTCGCACCCACTGTGCGAGCTCTTTCCCTGTCACACTGCATTGTTTTTGCCACTGCTGCTGCTGTTGCTTTTTGGCCAAAATTCAAGGAGCGAAAGACAAGAAAAAATTCAAATGGCCCATGACAAGTTTTTGCGTATAAAAATATAATGCTAGCCAAAAACGCAAATCTAGTGAGCAAGAGGGAGAGGGATGGCGAGTGCAAGTGAGAAAGAGAGCGACGCCAGCTGCCGGCATCAAAAAATAAAATACATTAAAGACCTGACAAAAAATAAAGAACGAAAAGAAGTAGAGCAGTGAAAAACACATAGACCCCAAAAAGCACAACAATAAAAGGTGTCCATGTTCAAGAAAAAAAAACAAAAACAACGGAAATTATTGATAAGCGAAGCGAGAGAGATTGGTATAGAAAGCATTGGGAGAGGAACATGAAATGTGTGCGTGAGAGAGAGAGAGAGAGAACAGGGGAACTTTGCAGTTTGCTCTTTGCAACAAATTGGAGGTGAATTGGCTTTTTTGGTCGATATGCAGCGACCTTCCCGCAAAAATGCTAAAATAACGAAATAACGTGCATAAACTTACCCACAAAACGCAACTCATGCTCTGGGTCAATGGTCAACGGAAGATCAAGGAGTGCTTTGCTCATTGTGGCGGCTTTTGTTGTTGTTTTTGCTGCTGCTACTTCTGGTGTTGTTCTAGTCGTTGTTGTTGTTGCTGAGAATTTCACTCTCTCCGCTTTGCGCCTCTCTTCGTTTTGATTTTATTTTTTGTGCGTCCTGTTTTTGCCCAGCTATTTGTTGTTCCTGGTAGCTGTCAAGAAAATGCACACCAAATTGTATTAGAATTTTCACGCACGCAGAGATACCAGACACAGGCACACAAGCACACACAAGTACAATAAAATAGGGATTTTAATTTTTTTGCCTACGTTTGCGTTTTTTTTACCAATATTTCAAAAAAACTGCTGCTGTTTTTCTGCCTGTTTCGTTTTACTTTACTCGCCTCTCTTTTTTTCTTTCGTTTTTCGCCCGTTTCGCTCTCAGGCGAAATATCGGTAGATTTATGCGACCACACACACACGCATGGACAAAAAAAGGAAGAGCGATAGTGTCTCACACGCACGCACGGTCTTTTACCAGAAAATGTCGAGAAAAAAAAACAACGATCAACGTGCGATTTCTTCACCGACTTTTAGTTGCTTTTCTGTCGTTTTCTTTGATTTCAGTGGTTTACCACGCTTCGGTTTGTTCGCAAACTTCAGTTGAAAACGCAAAATGCAAAAAAAGCCAGATATTCTTCCAGCTAGTGATGTAAAAAAACATCGATGCATCGGGTATCGATATTTTTCGATGATTTCCGTGACAGGAACGCTTAGGAACCTATCGATATATGCAAAATATCGGTGGTTAAAATACCTTATAAAAAATATTGTTTTCATAAGTATGTCTTGTCTTATCATTTTTTTTTATTTAAGTAATTTCAAAATGTCATTAATAACAATTTGAGCCAAATTTGTTATTTTACTTAAATTTGCAGTTCAGCAATCACATCCATAACTATGAACCTAATGCACCAAAATCTATACTTATTTATGCCCCCTGTCCAATACAAGTTTTAAAAATAATGCTATTCGCATGCGCCACTTGGGCCTGAAATCGATAGATATACATTATATTGAAGGCTTTGGCTCTATTCGGTCGAAAATATAACATGCAAAACTATTATAAATTTAAGCTAAAGAACTTCACCTGGTTACCAAAGCATTTATTCAATGGGCAACGAATTTTCGTTGTATTATTACATATGTTCTGTACATAAAGTCGTCCTTTTGAAGGACATACAAAGTTGTAAAATAATTTGATATCAAATTATTATGATGTTCAAGAATCAGGAATGTAAGATACATACATTCAATCCTTCCACAAAATTATTTTAAATGTTAAATAAGCGACGCGGTTTCGACTTAGCCTAAGAAGATGAATCTTTTAAGGCATCTCCTTATCAATCAAAGACTTGGTCCTCTGCTGTGTCTGGATATCGATGTCGAATCTCACAGCGAACGCACTAGCTTGCTCCGTAATCTCGTTGCGAATGCAGAATGGAGCTTTGGCCACAACTGCCATCAAATGATCCCAATGCTGGCGCTTCGTGCACGTCTTATCGATTCTGGTGTGGTTCCGGAAGGCTATCAAATATTGTCGAAAAAGGTATTTAAAGGCCCTGAAAGCGGACTCCCTGTTCACCTTCACCACCGCATCGCTTAGTTCGCCCACAACAGCGCAATCGGTGTGGTTATTCAGGACCTTGGTGAAGAGTTTGGTAGCCTCCGATGCAGTTGACTGAGTCAGCAATCTGAGAACACACCGGGTGTTATTGGAGCTATCTTCAGTCAGGTGGACGATCCAAAAGTCCTTGTGCGTCAACTTGCTGACTAGATTCAAAACTCTTTTGCGGAATTCTGTGAAAGAGCAATAATTAGTAGGCACCGACTTGGATTTATATCTATTAAACCGCTTACCCCCGTTTAGGAACATCAGATGGGACAGACCGTGACCCCAATACTGAACCGCCATTTCTAAAGTATTGACGCGGACCTCTTCAAAGGTGGCCAAGTCCCAGCGTAAAGCATCAATGGTCTTAATAACCTGTGAGATTAGCGACCAGTGATTCAAACGCCACTCTGGCAAACAGGCATGCATATTTGTGTAGTGCCTCGCCATCTTGACATCGTCTGCATCGTCTCCAGCCTCCGATTTCGGTTGCTCCTTTTCGAGTGTTGTTAACTGTCGGGCGCCTTGGAAGATTAGGTGCTTCTCGCTCACAGTAATCATCAAGAGCAGTCGAAAGATTATCTGCAGGCTAGGGAAGTCCCTGAACTTTCTAAACTTAGCCAAGCCGTTTGCACATGCCTCTAGGAACTGATTCTGCGTCTGCTTAAGCTGCTCTTTTCCGTAGGGACAGCGTCCGTCTTTCAAGCTAATGCGCATGTGTCGCGATGATATGTACAAGCCGTTGAGGATCTGTCGCTGGCCATATAAGTAGAGTAGAAACCGCAAGGCATTCGGCTTTTGCAGCAGTATCTCGTCCATCAAGAAATCATCGGCACAAGCGGAAATATGAAAGGCAGTAAGCTTGGGGCAAAACTGAGCAGCCAAGCGCCAGAATAGACGCGTGAAGCGAGTATGCGTCACGGCCAGGCGGGAGAAATCAATCCAAGTCTTATTTGCGTTCTCATAACACAGTACAAGAAATTCGTCCATCGGGAAGCTCTTGTTAATATCCAAACGATTAAAGAAGCGTATGCGACGCTCCCGGTGATCGGGTGCCTCAAAGTTAAAACCTTTGGTAACGTTTTGCTCATCGCGCAATAGCAGTACTTCGATCTTATCGTTAACATTTAATTGCATAAATAAGGGACGCAGTACCATATTTAGCAGACCTTCGTCTTCCTCCTCTTCGTTGGACAAGATCTCATCCTGCTCGTTATCCTCGTCGTCCTCATGATTTACTTCCGTAACGGATATGCCCTCGTCCTCGGCCACCATTTTTGACAGCACCACCTGACCCAAGTAATTGATTATTATCTGGGCATGCTTCTTGGTGAGCAAATGTAAATGATTTGCCATAGTTTCCAGGCACTCATCGTTGCCAAAGGCTATAAAGCGGCTAAAAAGATTGTCCAGACCGGCGAGCGCCTGCTCATTGGTGACCTGATCGCCTAGATCGCCATCGAGAAAGGCCAACAATTCTCCGATCGTTAGCTCAGCAATGCGTTGCTCTAAAGTTTTTGCTGCCTCCGCAAAGCCTTGCATCTGCTTGCAGACCGAATGCTGCTTGAGCTCCTCATCCGATTGGACAAGTTTTAGCAATTCTGCCGTCTGGCTGCAAATTAGCTCCTGGTAACTATAAAGCAAACGAGGTGATGGCATCTCAAGCCAGTGCATAAACGTGTCGACGCTAATGAGATGAAAAATACGCTGCAGAGAGTCCAGTAGTATTAGGGCGAAGAGTCGCAAATCAGTTACGTGATCATTTGAGTAGCTGGCACTGATATCTACGCTCATTTGGCTGTAGATGGCGAAGCACTTCGGCTTCTCGCGCTTCTGTGGATCATTAAGAGTATCCAAAAGGACTTCCAGCAGCTGTTCCATAACCTTGGCCAGGTAAATCCTACGAGTGGATGCACGCGGCAGAGTCTTGAGACGCCTGTCAGAGTCCAAGAGATGACGCTGCAGCATGCTCGCCATCTGACGCAGCAGTCGCTTATTTTCTTCGGGCAAATTGTGATTGACAATTGCGCGACCGGCTGCCTTCAAGGCGGCAAATAATAGTGGCAGCGTATCCTGCCAATTAACATGAATGTGCGACAGAACCTCATTGAATGTCTCAAAATATTGGAAGGTCAGCCAGCGAGGTCCACAAGCAAGGAACTCCTCCAGTGGCTGCTGGAGACCGCAATTAAGGGCTATCGCAATGGTCATTAACTGTGGAATAGCTGGCAGCTGGTAGCACAGATGGATGACATGGGCGCTCCACTGGGAGTCGCCCAAGAACTGCTCGTTGGCCCTATTTAGCACCAGGTATACCAGTAGTCCACGCAAGTGATTCATTGCAGCTGGACCATTTGGTCGGGCAACCAGATCTTGGTGCTTGCCATGGGGCACCTGTAGGATTAGCTCGTGCTCCAAAAGTAGACCCACCACGTGGTCGCAGATGCTTTTAATGTGCTCCTCGTTTCCTAAGAACAAATAAAGTTCATATTTTGGCACTAACTTGCACTGGCACTTGGCACTCCACTTACCACTCCAGTAAATTATGTGATTTAGGATCTTGGTGCTCTGGGCGTACTCATGAAGGAACTTCCTCAGCTGGACAAACAACTGACAATTGTCCAGCGGGTGTTCCTTCTCAGTTATCATGGTGCAGGCCCGGAATTTCGTAGTTTTGTCAAAATTTTTCCGAAAACAAATTCAATTAATGTGCGTCTTTTCTTCGAGTGACTATCAACAATCGATAGATAGGCGGTGCGCACCGATAAGCTTCAGTGCAAGGAGTTTTTGAAAATGAAGAAGTCTCGACTAAAAATAAAATGTTAGTAAGCCGACTTGTTCGCTGCATGCTATGATTTGAAGCGTAAACTTTATTTGTAAATATTTTCATATGATATATTTTTATTCTCAGTTAAAAAACAAATGGAAATTTCCTATATTGTATGTTTCGATAATTAATAATTTATATTATTAACGATCTTAGCCCTTCGCAGAGAATCCATACATCAGCTGTTCGGTATCGATATTCTTGCGGCGGGGGTGGCGGGCGATAGACGCGGTTGCCTATCGGCCGGCGAAGCAAAAGCTAAAGTAAAGTAAAATAAGAGCAAAGCAAAAGCGAAACAGCAGGCGAAAGGAGGAGTCGGTGCCCAAGGAACTAGCGGAACTGGGTTAAACCATGCCCATGCAATAGGCCACATTATCTATAATATAGGCCACACTGTCCGACGAACACCGTGTGGTGGTGGAGGAGGAGGAGAAGCGGCGGCAGACAACTTATAAATTATGGAGCTACGCGAACTGCGCGGTGGAAATGGAGGGAGTGGTGGAAATGGAGGAGGCGTAGGAGCAGGTACACCCGGAACCTCTGGGACGTCGACAAATGGATCCCCAAGTCCCGAGCTAGGCGGCATCTGCATTGGAGGCGCCGCCGGAGGACAGCGTATGCCCACCAGAGCGGATATATTTATGGAGCAACTAAACGCCACCAATGCTAAGAAGGTGGCTCTGCTCCTGGTCCTCGGGTTCATCGTCTATCACGGCCTGCTTAACTGGAATTACGGTGGGTTCAAGGTTTCAAGATCTTTAATGATCTAAGTAATATCAAAATCATACATATTTTAAGCTCACAAACGTATTGCAATAGGTCTCAACATTTAATATAGTAAAAAAGCTTTAAGGTAAATCTTAATCAAAAACGATTATATAAATATAGATAATCAAGTCAAATATTAAGATCAGTCCCCATATTCTGCAGTTGTTGGATGAACATAAATCCCATGTAAAGTTCATAGTTGGGATGTTGGCTAAAATTTCAAGCTTATTTTTGATATTGATTTGTTGGTTTTGTTCTCCCGCAGGCAGTGACTCCTGCCAGTGGCTGTTGTCCAAGGGCCGATTCAAGGGCGACAACGAGTGGCAGCCGTACGGTTGCATGGTGCACAAGTACTCCCTCACGTGAGTAATCAACGCACATTCCCGACAAGATAACCCCCCATTAATGACTCACCCAAACCGAAATTCTCATTATTTACAGTGACACAAGGCGCTGTTTGCGTTACCTCGCCTTCTTCGACAACAAAAACAACTTTGTGTTCATTGGCGACGATAGTATCCGGCTGCTCTACGAACGATTTGTGGAGCAACTGCGCCAGCCATTGGCCGCGGATGAGGTGGCCGACGAGGAGGACAATAACGCCTCGGTGACTGATGGCTCAGCTCGTTTCGAGGACAAGAAGCTGCATATGCTGGCCCAGTACATTCGGGCGGAGGAGGTGAGTCCGTCGCTTGTGGAGCAACTGTACCGCCTGGAGGCCGAAAAGCAGCTGTCCTCTGTGTACGTTGTGGGCTTCACCTATGCCGGTTTACTCGCCGGCAACACCACAGACGACGTGCTGCGGCAATATGCCGCCAATCTCACCTTGCTGGTAGCTCCGTTTCATCGCCTGGTGGCACAAACGTCGCGGGTCCTCTGGAAGCTAGCAGACCGTGTGGACGAGGAGAAATTGCCACCGCACTGGAAGCTGCTCCAGAATGAGCACATCGATCGGTTAAATCATGTGGCCAGGGGTGTTTTCCGCTACACGGAGGCAAGTGCTTGGGAATCCGCCTGGCACATAGCCAATGGTTTGCTGGACAACGCCGTCGATGGTCATCAACTGTGCGCCCATGGCCAGCGACTAGAGGTTCAGCTGCTGTGGAACATGTACTGCAATGACTACATGAACTACAATGATGGCACTTGCTGCAGCAGCTCTGAGCCGTACACCACGCTGCAAATAGTGGCATACGCCTTGTTTGGCGTCTGCATGGCGCTTGTGTGTGGCATGTGTCTGCGCAGATGGCTGCTGCATCTCCGAGGCCAGACTTTGTACGTGCCCTTGCAGCAGCAGCAGCAATCTCACGAAGGAGGAAGAGCAAGTGGAGGATCACCGAGTAATGCCTTATCCGCTCTGATAACCGACTATGGCACTCCCATGGTGGCGCTATCACTGCTGGGCCTAATATTGGCCTATTTCTACCTCTGCGATCGCACAAACTTCTTTATGAAGGAGAACAAATACTACTCTGAGTTTAGCTTCTGGATACCAGTGGGCTATGTCTTTGCCCTCGGACTGTTTTTTACGGAGGATTCACGGTTCACAAAGGTGCTCAATCGCGATCAAACGGATGAACTGCGTGGCTGGATACTGCTGGTGGTGCTTATATATTATATGACCGGAGCACAGCGAGTGCTGCCCATTCACATGCACATCAAGCTGTTGATCTCTGGATACTTCTTCCTTACCGGATACACGCACTTCACGCACATGTGGCAGACGGGTGGCAGTGGCTCCCTATTCGTGCGCTTTTTCCAGGCCATGTTCCGAGCAAACTTTCTCAGCGTACTGCTGTGTTTCTGCATGAACCGGCCGTATCAATTCTACTATTTTGTACCACTACTATCCTTCTGGCTGTGCATCGTCTACTTTGTGCTGGCCCTGCCACCACGAATTTCGTCCGCCTCGGTGGATGCTAATCCGCTGCACTATCTGTATCTGGTGTGCAAGTGCATTGGTTGCCTGGGCGGCATCACGGTGCTCTTTATGTCGGAGGTATTCTTCGAACGAATATTCGTAACGCGACCGTGGAAGGCGCTGTTTGTGACCACTGACGATGATCTGCACGAGTGGTGGCATCAGTGGAAACTGGACCGGTATACGGTGGCCTTTGGCATGATTTATGCCGCCTGCTTTCACATTGCCCAAAAGTACAATGTATTCGATGACAACAACCATGGGAATCTGTTTTCGCGGAGGACATCAATATCAGTGACATTGCTGGCACTGCTGGGCGTTGGAGTGTACACTTCGTTCTCGTTCCTTTGCCGCAACGTTCAGAACTGTGAGGAGATCCATTCGTATATCCTGTTTATACCGATTGTGGGCTATGTGATCCTCAGGAACATTTCGGGAATCCTACGTACTCGATACTCGGCGTTCTTCGCCTGGTTTGGCCGCATCTCGCTAGAGCTGTTCGTCTGCCAGTATCACATTTGGCTGGCCGCCGATCGGCACGGAGTTCTGGTGCTGTTGCCCGGTTTCCCCACGCTCAACATGATCATTACATCGTTCATCTTTGTGTGCGCCTCGCACGAGGTACATCGCCTAACCCAAATCCTGCTGCCGTATGCGGTGCCCAGCGACTGGCGTCTGGTCATGCGAAACTTCGTCATCTTCCTCATCGTTCTCATACCCGTCGCCCGATCGGATGGGATGTTCTGATCCTGAGTGATTCGCAATCCAATTGCCGCCCAGGTATTGACCCAAAGTATTCGATAGATAGCAGATCCTTCGGCAGAAAAAGAATGAGCGAACTTAAGTGTTTAACTTCAGGGTGGAAAGGTTTTGTATCTTAGCTTATGACTTTAAAATCCTTTTGCCATATCTCAATACTTTTTAAAAGATACTTAACCCTAAGGCCGTAGGTCAAATATTTGCTTTCATTTTCCTTAAGAAAACCAGGATCTGGCATTTTTGCAAAGATTCAGACAAGACAATAATTTAATTTGTTAATGTTAGCTCATTATGTTTATACGATTATAGTCGGGATCAGATAACTTTCAGTTAAAGTATATTGATTTTTGCATATTTACCAATCGATCCACCCTAGTTTATAAAGTGCGTGTCATAGCTATAAGAAGAAAATTGTAGTCTTGTCTCGAAAAGGGATAACTTTACTTAATCGATTTGGCGTTATACAAGTTGTTGAAATTATTATTAAACCTACACTTAACTTAAGTAGCTCAATGCAATTTAATTTGTTAGATTAAAGCTCCAAAAAACTATTTGTATATTTGCTTTAAAAGAGAAGTCGCTAGCTGGCGTTCTTTATTGCCAAAAGCATCAGCAAAATTACAAAAAATATGGCTTTACCTTAACTGCACAGTATTCTTATGGTTCTGAAACGCACTGTAGGCACATAGTAAACTATACATATTAAAGCATGATATATATATACGTATATGTATATGTATATCGGAATAATTTGCGCCTATGTATACTATACAACCTAGGGTTAACATAGCTTTAATTAAATTTTGCACAAATTACTTAACAACTCAACAAACCAAACACACTCACTCAAACACAAGCAGCGGCAAACCAAATGTATGTATAAAGCAAGAGAATAAAGCAATGGATATACACTTATTTGACACACTGTATGCCGCCGGTCGGAAGCCATTGGCCGGAAAATTTATCACACTTTTCGAGAAATATGCAACTTTGAACTGGCGGCCACTGAACTGGGCATCCCCTAATGCGGGCACATGGAAGTTGGAGTGCTGGCGTTACGCGGGGCAGGGATTGTGCTAATTGACATGCTGCAAACAAGCTGCAACTACGTCCAAGCTGCACTGAGGAAAACTATCTGCTGGTAAGACCCATCATTTCTATCGTTGTGGACGCAGCTGGAAGACTGACGGCAGCTAAGGTGCACGACTATAGTACTTGTATATGTAAGGACTGCAGTTAATTTATTATTTCATTTGTGTTCCGAACATTTTCTTCAGTGTGGAAACGCGGGTGGTGGCAGAACATACATTCCATTCACAAAAAGCATTCATTCACCTCGCGACAGTAAAAAGAGTTGTGCCCCTCAGGATGTGAGGATGTGGATGAGCGCACGGATGAGGATGAGGGGCAGTTCCACGCGCCTGCAAAGGTACATATTTGCATACATAAGTAGACACACTCCTGGTTAATGAAGAACTTAATTCGCATCACAAACAGAAGTTTGTCCCCTTTAAGTGGGAAATGTTTCGGT